TCCCGGATTGGAACATACCTACAAAATAAGGGGTGCTCAAGTTTTTTAAATGCATGATTGAAAAAAATCACCAAATTTGAGTCGACCAATTCTTTACCGTTCCACCCTTTATGCTGGTCGCCATGAAAATTTCAATTTCTGTTAAATTACTTATTTAACCTAGTGACACCTTCAACTCTTATTCGGCCTAATCCTCCATCGTATAAAAATATGTTTACGCTCCTATATTTCAAAAGCTGGCTACGCCCTTGCCAATTCTAGATATAGCTGGAATTAGCATGTAACAGCTTTTGTAAACAATGATTTCTTGAAATTCAAGGCTCGGATTAATTTGCAATACAATGATTTCTAAAACTGCCCTTAAATTTTTATTTGATTTTGAATTCTTGTTTCAGGTGTTCCAGTTTAGTTAAAACTGGAAAATGTTTTATATATATTTTTTCAGCTCTAAAGTTGCTATATACTTACTTCTAATTTAACAAGATCTAAATAGTTTAATATTATCTAAATATTATTCAAAGCTTCTGGAATAGTTGAGCCATGATTCGGGCAGTAGAGGGTTAATAATGTTCAACTTTTTTTTTCTCCGTCCCATCGACGAATGTCGTCAGGTCTAGAGAAGACCCCACCGAAGACGCAAAGCAAATAGAAAAGTGAAATTAAATGAAAAAGCCCACTTAATGTCATTTCCGTGCACACAAATTGCTTTACATTTCCATTCCACTTCAGAGGAAGATGGTTGGTTGGATTCTTCCACTGCTTGCTTTTCTTCGATCATTCATGGAGGAAAAGTGTTCCGTTCAAGTGCTTCAAAGATCCGCGTCAGCCTTTATGCAAGATTCACACTTTCTCCGTGTCGGAAGGAAGACGAAGACGAGACCGCTGCTAGGACTTCGAGGTGGAGAAGGAAATATGAATACACGTCATGATCCGTCCACAGCCAGCGTGGTTCCTGTAACGGGCGCGTCTGAATGAATTAGATTCGCGTTTTCCCTCCCGCCGAGATGATGAATCGTTCCGTTTATGCGTGCAAAACAAGACCCCGCTGGAATTCGGTTTTCACCATCATGTTCTGGCAGTGGTGGGTGGTCTCTCTCGGCTGGAGAGATGTTGGAAAAGAGGCCACATCCTGTCCGAGTGTAGGGAGATGGAAATGAACGAGCACTCGACAAGACAATGTAATGTAATTGATAATTTGTCCACCGGAATTGTAGGAAGGAGGCTTTTTGTTCTGCGAGGAAGTCACTATTTCATCTGGTAGTGATGACGAGGATAGCGACGATATTCTGCACTGAAGGTTGAGAACATTGGGGGAACTCAAACATTTAACGACATTCCATAAAAAATAATGATTCTGCACGTACTGAAAGAAATAATTGAGTTGATGAATGTCACCCAATAAATATTTTTGAAATCATGCCTTCCTTCGCATAGATTCAAATCCACTTGATCCAAAACACTACGGTGACAAACAGAAATCCCTAACGACTTTTTCTTCCACCCACCCATCGATGCGTCATAACTTGTTTTTCTGGTTTCCCTTGTTCGGCAGCAGCCCCATCATTCAGTCCCATGTGAAGCAATAAATCCTCGGATCCTAGCCGGCACCCCCTTGGCCACGACAAAGTCGACCAGACTTATCATCGGCAAACATAATTAAGTTACTTTTTCGGTATTAATAATATTGTTTGCCAATATCCGCTTTCGAGAGTTTTGTGTTTTACTCTCTTCCCTTTTACGGTGCTTCCATGGAACTTTCATCATAAAGAAATGATCTCGGTTGGTCGGATCAAATCTCGCCTTGTTTGTTTTGGCGAATAGTTTTCTCGACGGCGACAACTGGGCTCTTAATCCTGTAGGCGGCGAGATGCGGGAGCACAAGTCATTTGGTGATTTTCTCAAGCATTATCGGCACGAGTGAAGACAAATAGGACGTGCGTTAATCCATAATTACTCGAAGCTGATTTTGTTTGATTGATTGCGACGATAGTGGTTGTGACTTTTAGTTGGATTGGTGTAGAGTTGCACGTTTCATTTATTTTGGATGTTATTTTTTTAGTTTATCTTACTAAATCTTAAAAACATAGCTATATATGAACAGTACAGTTAAAAAAAAATTCTCGGTTTCGATCGTGCTATCGACAGTTGTTCACTCGATCACATTATTCTTTTGGTGCGCTTTGTTTTTTGCCTCCAGCTCGGTAAAGAACATCCTTTCTTTTGCCTATTCAAATGGCATTGCAAAGCCCACTATGGGTGAGATTGCCAATTTCGTGAAATCACTGGATGCAAATTCAGGTGACATGGATGTAACGTTCAGGTTGGCGGAGGAGAAAGCGGTATTGATCAAGTTTAAATTGGAAACAAGTATGCATTATACCACGATGTATAGGGTCTGTTCATAAATTACGTTATGAAAAAAAACCCCGTAAAAAGTGGAAAAAAAAGTCTACCGTATTTCGATATTTGGAAATTGTCACCTCTCCCTTCACTAGACCATTATCCGTACACATTTTAAAGATTTATATGGAACACTTACCTAACGACCTATATAGCTCCCTTTTTAATTCATGGAACATGCCCTAAACAGTATTATGAAACTCCGCAGTTTAACAGAAAAGTGAAAATTATTAAGGATAATATCAAATAATAAGATTTTTTTTAATTTTGAATTTGAAATACTGTCAAATACCCATTAAAATAGGTATTTTTTAAATCACGATGACATCTAGAGGCGATTGAAATCTAAGATGGTGGCTTCCGATTTCAGAAAAAAGTGGGAAATACTGTCAAATACTCATCAATATAAGTATTGTTTTAATCTAGATGACGTTTAGAGGTCGGAAATCAATGACCGACGCCATTTTTAAATCCATGATGGCGGTGTCCGATTTCAGAAAAGTGGGAAATACTTTCAAAGTGTTTTTATGTTCCTTCATACGTGAAATTCTATCTAATATGAAGCTTTAGTGTGATAATTTATTAACTAGAGAATGGTCTGAGAACGTAGGTAGATAGTTTCGCTAGAGTACGGTAGTATAAAAATTGAATTGAAGTTGAAAATGAGTGAAGGGCCATTAATGCGACAGTAATAGTCAAACGCATACTTCTTTACCTAACTCGTACAATGTACGAGGAGATTTGGCGTTTTTCTTAAAATCTACAGGCAAAAAGTGCACGCCGTCTACATTTGAAAGCAACATTTCTTGCAAGTTGCTAGTTTACTTGAAAATTAAGTTTACATGCATGAATGTTTGCATGCATGAATGTTTGCATGCATGGATGTTTACATCACCATTAAGGTATTTTTGGAATCGTGATGATATCTAGAGAATGAAAATCGATATCTGACGCCATTTTGAAATTCAAGTGTCAAATACCTTAAAATATGGATGACACGTAGATGCTGAAAATCGATTTCAGACACCACCTTTAAATCCAAGATGGTGACTTCTGATTTCAGAAAAAGTGAGAAATACTGCCAAATCCTCATCAATGTGGGTATTTTCGAAATCCCAGTAACATTTAGAAGCCAGAAACCGATGTTTGACGCCATTTTAAAATCTAAGATGGCGGCTTTGTTTCAGAAGAAGTGAGAAATACTCTCAAATACCGATCTATGTGGGTATTTTTACAATCGAGGAAACATCTAGACGCCAGAATTTGATGTCCGTACTTTATGTGAAATCCGATAACCGCCATATTGGATTCCAAAATGGCGTCAAAGTACACGTTCCAAAAATACCCATATTGTAGGGTATTTGAGACTTTTCCTGAGCCCGATGAACTCCAGAATAACCTCGTTAATTTAGTTTTCGTTTAATATAAAATAACATTTTATTACTACACGCAAACCAAAAATCTATTACAACGAATGTTAGTTCCGTTTCCTATCATCCTCTGTTCATGAACATCGCAACGAATGTTAGAAATTGACCATGCAGGCGATGTAATGATTTTTTGTCTTTTTTATTTCGTGTTCTATCTACGCTTTCGACAATACCAGTAAGCTTGTAGAACGACGCACATTGTAGAACATTGTAGAACGACGCACACACTTGTCTCGAATCTCTCCAGCAGAAAAAGCATACGAAGTCGAGTATGCGAGAGAATGAGCGCTTCATGTTTGCTTTTAGGCAGTCCTTATTCAGAAGCATGGAGAGAGCAGTGGAGAAAACACAGGTCTGATAATCGCAACGTTCGTGGTTCGAGTCCAGTCGGCAGTCTGTTTGCTATTTTTTTCGACATAACTAATTTACCTCACTAATACACTCCACATTTTTCGGTCTCCAATTCTCTTGCATTGGACCGCAGCTAGGTATATTGCATCCTCGGTTCATGCGGTCTCCACTTACATCCTCTTATGATGAATCCCACATAATTGTAAGCGAATCTTACATCCACCGTTTGGGTGTACATATAATCCGGAAGCCATCCCTATCGGCAATTGATAGTGTGTGGGTACAATCTGGATACTATATTTTGATGCCTGACGACGCGACGCGTGACAAGTCGAATGAGCCCCAAATTGTAAAGAAAGTGGTAAAAACGAAGGAAGCAGTTTTTTAGTCATTCATCGCGTCAATTTAAACAAGTCTTTGCTTCAAATGAAATGAACTGATACAAGCGACAGTCAAGACATGTTTGACAGAAGGAATGTTCAGCGTGACTCGATAAAAAGAAACTCAATGACTTAAACGAAAATGATATTGCTCAAAATGAAGCAATTCTTTTCTTTAATTCGAAAATGCAGAACCCTGACGCCAACTACCAAATCGGGTTTGAGATGAAGTCAACTCACTTGCCTCGTCTAAGCTCGTTTTAACGAATCATTTTGTCATTATGAATTCTTCCTGTATATCGTTGTTCGTTATTTACTAAAAATTACAAGTCTTTAAAAACACAAGTGATCCAAGCCAAACTGTAAAGTATTTTCAAATTGCTTTGGTGAACATCGAATCCATCACCAACTAATAATCCATTTCTATTCTCCATTCCAGAATGGGCTTCGAAAAGTTCGAAATGCCAAAGCATGGCTACGACCAGATGGATGGCAACGGAAAGGGCCCAGGTGGCGGCGGCGGTGATGGTGCTAACGGTGACTACGGAGTGGACGACGGTGGCGCCGATTCACCGATGTCGTTTGACGAAATCGAACGGCCACCACTGCGACACATAGACAAGTACGTGAAGGCACAGTGTCCCTGCATTAAAACTACCCGCTTCACGATCGCCCTGATGACCTGTCTGGGGTTCATCATTTCCTTCGGCATGCGCTGCAACATGGGCATGGCCAAGCTCCAGTTTGAAAATGCGGTGAGTTAATGAGTGAGCACGTGAACGGTAGGTAGAGGTAGTTGGGCGTTATCAGTCGGTGATTTGATGGCTGGTATTTTTTGATCCTTTGTCGAACGTGATTTCCAACGGGACACGTGCCGATGACCGGAATTAGCGAAAAAGGGTTCACCCTGGGGGAGGGGGTTTAATGAGTTATATCTTTCCACACCGATGAACTGGTTGATTGGGAGTCACGCCAAGAACGATGATTGGACATCTAAATGGAATTCGCTGGAGCTGGTGTTATTTGGGATTGAAACGATTTTGGCCAATGGACAAATTGTGGAGCTAAATGGAAATGGAACGAAATGAATAAAAAACAGATATTATGAATTTCTAGGGTTAAGTCTCTAGAATAAAAAAAAGAACGAAATTGGAATCAAAATGGAATTTAAAAGGAACGAAGATAAAATGAAAATAGGATTGAAATGTAAACGAAAATTCAACGAACATGGAACCAAAAATGGAATTTAAAAGGAAAAGCGAAAGAGAAAGAAACTGAAACAATACCTATATGAACCTTTTTAAAAACTTTCGATAACCATATCGGAAGTCAGAGCAAATATTGATTATTCGTTTTGCAGAATCAAAATGTTCCCGTCGTTCATCACGCTCATTTTAATGAAAATATTCTACCACCCATTTTTGCTGTCGATTGCGAAAAGACTAATGAATTCGTACGAAAACCGATGGTAATGAGCCAACGACGACAATGATGATGCGACGGTACATCAATGGGAAAATCCCCGATCGAAAGATGACGATAATGGTGACAGGAGGAGTCCCCCACAAATGGAAATGGCTAGTCAAAGGGAGCATTACAAAAGGGAAATGCGCAGGCAGGCAGCGGCAGGAGAGATATGAAATTTTATGAAGTCGAACATAATGGAAGCATTTATTCCGTAATACGCGTCACAAAAGATGATAATTTTTTATTCATGCCGGGCAGACCGACTGGCTGCCTGGCTGGCTGGCTGCCCGTGAAGAAGATCCGTTTCCTTTTCTTGGTGACTTGGCATGGATTTCGGTTTGTGTGCGATGAGCTCGACAACATTGTAATAAAACATGCGTCATAGCGTGGGGAAAGCGAACCGGATGGAGCGTCTGAAGAAGTGAACGAGGGCAACGGGAGACTGCACTGGCAAGAAATGTTCTAGATTCGGGTGGCGCCGTTCTGGCGACAAAGAGAAGTTTTTTTTCCGTTGCTTGGTATGGATGTGATATTGCGGATTCAAGTGTTAAATGGAACGAATGGCGAAACGAGCGTTGCGCTCCCGTCTGACGAGGGGTGGATTCGATCAAGTGCGATATACTTCCGGTTGCTTCCGGAGCGGTGTTATGACGGGAAATGGATGTGCTCTTGTTGTTTGAGCTTGGGAATGGGTGGAATATATTAAATCCATATCGGTTTCGGGTGGAGCTTTTAGCGTTCCGATTTTTATAAAAATGACTGCTAGCAGGTATTTGTCAATCGCAAATAACCAGTATCAAAATCGATACATCTCAGAATTTCGTAGTAACGTTTAATCACACGACTCACCATTGACTGCACAATTTCGAGTTGTTTTCCGATGTCCCGATGAGAGATTTGATGATTTTCCAGGTGCTTGAACAAAATCAATTCACGACGTTGCTTTTCGGGTGACACCATTTTTTCCAACTTTCGAAAAACTGACAGCGATAAAAATACAGTGTATACAATACACTCTAAACTACTTCTACCCTAATTTTCAAGAGAAAATACCCAATGGGTATTTTTCTACAGCGTTTTTTTCCGTCATGCAATTTGATGTTGTACATCCTTTACGTCTTGAGACCGAAAATCGATGACCGACGCCATCTTGATTTACAAGACGACTACTTCCGGTTATATAAAACTGGAAGTACTGTCAAAAACCCTTGAATATGGGTATTCTCGGAATCGGGGTGACGTCTAGAGACTGCCAAAAATTTTAATTTTGCATAATAAAAGCTGATTAACTTCTTCTTCTTCTTCGCATTTCAAGCTTATTGCATATTAGCTTATTGCGTGCTCTCAACTTAGTGTTCTAGATGCACTTCCACAGTTATTAAATGAGAGCTTTCGATGCCTATACCATTTTTGCTTTGGTATAATTGTGTGGCAAAGTCTAATCATACTTCTATGCCCAAGGGTGTCGAGAAATTTTCAAACCCGAAAAAATCCGAGACTGGACCGGGAATCGAACTCAGCCACCTCAAGCATGGTCTTGATTTGTAGCTGCGCCTTTACCGACTGACCCCCTAATAGTTTAATAAGCTTTTATTGAATAAGCACATTTCTGCTCTTTTTTTTAACTAGTTCATTTATTTGGAAGGCTCAATCGCGTTAGCTTTACGGAGCCGATAGTTCATTGTTCTTTGTTTGTAACAAAATTCAATTATTTCTATGTCTAGTAGGAGTTGGGCCGAATACTCGTACATAATATGGAAAAAAGGATGGACTTTGTATGTTAATATAATTTCATGTATAGAGGTACCAGATATGTTTTAAAGTCAGTTGTGTGTAATTCACCAACATAATATAATCAAATATGTCTTTCAAGCATTTTTTCTTCAAATTTGAAAGTTTTGGTGCAGGAAGAAATTAAGGGAAAAACTTCTGTTTTTACTAATAATTGCCCGAGGCGACAATGAGCAAAAGCACGACAGCAGCGCTGTTTAAATCTTTTCAGGTTCAAACAGAACGATGTGCAACTGAACCTGATAGGATTTCCCGCCGTTTTTTTATGAATGGGGCGGAGCAAAAAGTTTCTTTTGTGCAGAATACGTAAAAAAAAGGATGGATGTCAATATAGTAGGATATACAGAGGTACCAGATATGTTTTACAGTCAGTTGTTGATAATTCATCGAGTATGTCTCCTGTTAAGCAATTTTTTTGTTTGGAAAATGTTGGCTCGGCATGTAAAAAATTAATTATTTATACATAATTGGTTTGCTTAAAATTTATTTCCCGGAAAAAAATGATCGTCATAGTCCATGTCTTTTTCGGGTTATGTTAAGGGGGAGGGGGAGAGGTTGTTAAGGGGGAGGGGGTTTTACATGCACGTTTTTTTCAAGTCTCATTCCTCATTGTGGTGGACACACCGTGATCCACCTTTGGCAGCTGACTTGGTCCTGCTTGCTGCACGACCTAGTGCAACGCCGAAGCGGTAATGAGCAGAGGCAGGAGAGCAGCGCTGATTTATATCATTTCAGGTTCAAGCAGAATGATGTGCAACCAAGTGGTATTCGTTTATTATGGCTGGGTTTGGGAAAAAGGCTTATTTCATGAAAACAGTGATAAAGTTATCATTTGTACATTTTCAAAAGCTTAGCTACAGAAAAATTAAAAAAAATATTTATTTCAGCAGGTTCGTAATGTAATATCCTATCGATTGGTGTATTTGGATTTAAATTTCATTTATAAATGACAAATTTACAAGCGTTCACAACTTAAAACTCCTTCACCACACATATTTTTTGGTTTGCACCCCAGTATAGTCGACAAAGACGTAGTTCTACGTAAAAAAAAACTTAAAAATACTGTCAAATACCCTGTGTATACATTTTATGTATGCAGGATAGATTCCGGGCCGTTTAAATGAAGTGAACGCACCATTGTATATCGATTGTGATTAATTACCCAACTAACAATTTTAGCTGCAGATTAGCTTATACAGCAGAAAATTGGCTCATGCAGCTAATTTTTGCCTGTATAAGCTAGTCTGCAGCTAAAATTGTTTGTTGGGTATGGCAAGTTTGTCCCAGTTAAAATCAATCCGTTTGTAGCCTCGATCGCACATGATGTACTGTTTGGTTTTAGTTTTTTTCCTAGTTCAAATTTAGCTTATTTCGTTGTGTTTGGAATAGTCGGTCACGATTTGTTTGGTCGCGCTTTGCTTTTTGTGCATTAAGGCTTATATTGATATTTGATTACATTATGCACAAGATTGTTTCTGAACGTGCTGGTTGGTCGGAGTGTTGTGATATAAGAAAAATGATAGTGTCGGTAAGGTGTGATGGATCCTCGACCCAGGTGGAAAAACATAGTAGAATCTTGCTGAGAAAACTGACTGCTATTGTAGAAATTCATAACTGAAAGAGCTCGGGCGTAATGATTCGGGAAAAATAATAAGTTAAGAAAAATATTACGCCCGCTTACTTCAGTTTGGAAAACATTGTTAACTGCTTTCCGAGATGTAATTTAATTTGAATAGCTTCTTTTGCCAGGGCTTGAACAATCATCGCGTCGGTGATTGAGATGCAAGAGGCATGGTGGTAATGTGTAGCTTTTATGGGTTCTGTTACCGTCTTACGTAAGGACCAAGTCGAAACAATCAATGTCGCGTAACAGTAGAATTTAATACAGACCTAATTGCTTGTTCGTTGCTTTTTGTCTCATGGTCTTAGCGGTTGATGGAAGTGAGGGGGGGGGGGGGGTGTAAGAGGCACCACCGTCGGGTTTGAATGGTTATAGCAACACCTGGTTCCAAAGTGATGTGTTTTGATATGAGGGACTCGGCTGCATTAGGCAACCATTTTCGTTTACTGAGCAGATATACGTGCACACTAATCCAGGCCTCCGCAGTTCGGTAGTTTTTGAACTACGGAACAGTCCGATAAAAGTTTAAAATTCAGTGAATAATTAAAATTTTTAGAAATATTATTCCAAACTTGTACAGACTTTGTCCAGTTAGTCCAGTTGAGTTCAATGATAAAAATTAAAATATGTCGACTATACTGATGTCTTACGTCTAACGGTCATTTTAAGTTTTACAGACTTTTTCAGCTGTTCAAAAACTCGGTAAAAATTTACCGGCTTAAGTGATCTGAATTCAGTGTGAGAGATCAATCCTTGGTCCTTTCACATTACGGAGATTTATAGTCACATTACTTGCTTATCGTGAGTTTTGTTAAAATTTTCATTGCGTCGTCATTTGACAACTCGATCATAGATGGAATGATGTGATATGAAGGCTCGATGGCCTTAGAACGACCAATTTTGCTTTATAAGCAGAACATTTTGAGCTTAATCTCAAGCATCTCCACATTCAAGATTCACTATTCTCTGTTTTGTCAGTATGAATACATTGTAATTACATCAACTTGATCACAAGTGATGTGTTGTAATATAAGGAGCTCTATTGCCTATCGGCATACGTTTTTGATTACTCAATAGAAGACCGTGGGATCAATCCAAACTTGCTCATGTTGAAGGATCTTTAAGATCTCCATTCAGCTTATCGTTTACCAAAACGAGTTCTGCTGCAAACCCAATCCATTTATCCAACATCCCACTTATTTCTCATGAAAGTGCACTCACTCAGAAATGATTACCGACTTCGGAATTTTTTTCTGAATTTTCAACAGCTGAACTTGTCGGTTAAAATCAAACATTTTAATTCATTAGTTTTAAAGCTTCAAAACAAGGAAAAATTCATCGCAATTGCAAGACTCGGTTATTTAAATAAAGCTGACCGTGTATTGAAATTAAATTTGGTGATACAGCTTTTGAAATGAGGATAAGATAAGACTGAACGTTCAGCCGTTGAAAGTTCGGTAAAACATCACCGAAGTCGGTAATAATTTTTAAGTGTGCAGAGGATTTCTCGGCTCCTATCGAAGCGAGTGTAACGTCTAAACATTCCTTTCTTGACATGCGTTCGGACGCGGCCGACGCTACTATTGCCTAGTTTGTGATCACCAGTTTTTACATGATGAGGGTGAATGCTATTCCCATGCATCATCTATTGGTTATCTGTGTAATTACAGCTGATCTGGAAATAACGGAGTAGCATCTACGGGTGGTCAATCATGCTCATACAGCACAAGTTGTGTATGATCTTGTTAGTGGAGCTTGACCAAGTTGCTCTGATAGGATAGCCCACTGCTATGTGTAGACGCCTTTCTTCTTGAGTTGTAGTCTCAATCATCATCACCATCATCATCAGTGTTCATATAGTTGCATAAGATATAGCAAATTATTGACATGTGAGCCTGTACGAATAATACGCATAAATTTCCGCTGAGAAATATCCAAAATAGAATCAAGGGGATCACGTGTGTTCACTCTCTCCATGAGATGTACTTAAGGTTGGCAGCGTCCCTGGCAAACCAATAAAATTACGCCCCTCCTCAATTGGCATTGCCTGTATTTCACATATTATTTTAAGTTTATAATATGTTGAGTTAAATAAATACATCCAGCAATACTTTTTGTTTTTATCAGTTAAGAAACGATTATTCATTCTTATTCGCATTCTTATTCGGGGCACTAAGTAAGAACATCCTATGACGGATAATTTTGCTTCGGCTTTTCAGTCTTCAAGAAAAAGCGCTGATTACAGTATTATCATCGCCAACGTTTCGATCCAGTGGTTGGGATCATGACACCCCTCTCTAAACAGACATCCATCAGCTAGGTTGCAAATACTCATGTCAGCTAAAACAATGTTTTTTTTTTATTATGAAATAATTAGATACTATGATCATATTTTGAATTGGTAAGATACAAGAAGAGGTTGCAAAGAATGTGTTTAACATATTAAACCTGTTTATTTCACTTCAGCGATTTTTCACACACTCACTCACTCACTCACTCACTCACTCACTCACTCACTCACTCACTCACTCACTCACTCACTCACTCACTCACTCACTCACTCACTCACTCACTCAGCGATCAGCAAATCGCTGATTGTGACTCATAGAAAGCAAAATTTACAGGTTTTATGTTACAAACGCATACTTTGTAGCCTCTTCTTGTAACTTACAAGTGAACCATGTCATCATACCATTTTTTTGGTTTTATTATTTCGAAAAACATAATTTTAGCTGAAATGAGTATTTGCAAGCTTGTCCATCAGTAGGCCAATCACACAAACCACACAAACTGATTAATATCGAGCCCTTATGATGATCCCAGCCCCTGGTTAAAATTTAATCAAAGTTTTTTTTCTTGAAGACTGAAAAGCCTATACAAATTATCCATCACTTAAAATAAATTCAAAATTTTGCCTTTAACTACAGAACTGGTTCAAAATGTCATTCAAATCAAATTCTGAAGCGGTTCACGCCGGAACGTAGTGGCTCATTTGGCAACGTATATAACTTGTTATGGTTTTGAAATAGCTGCAGCTGCTTTCAAACGATGTCACTGTAACAAGAAGCGACAACACAAAAATCTTAGAGCCGTTTCGATGATAGGATAACTTTTTGCAAGACTATTTTCAAGCATACAAAATGTCCAAAGGAGTCGAAGAGCTCAGGTCAGGTAATAGTTCTTTCATCTGTATTTGAAATACTTCTATCTATGATACATCCTCCACTATAGTGGCGCCGGTGGTGTAGTGGTAAGTGTGTTAACCTCTCACCCCAGAAGGCCTGGGTTCAATCCCAGTCGGCGTCGCCGGGATGTTCTGAGGCATAAGATCTCTGATCACGCCTTCCTTCGAAAGGAAAGTAAAGACGTTGGTCCCGGTTCATGAGTTGATGGGTCGAAAGGTAGGGTCCAGGTGTGGGAGCTGCCTCCTTGGCGTCGGTAGCATTGGTGCTCAGCACGGAAAACAAGATCGACGGAAAACAAATCAAGGAAAAAAAAAATGCTCCCCTATATCAATATCAGAATAATACTTAAACCCGAATTATATCAAGACCTTCTTCAATTGATGCAGGGGAATAACTGTCAGTCCGTTCGTAATCGTAAAAGATTACTGCTCTACGCATAAAATGTTATCAAATGTTGTCAAATATGGGGGGCTCGATCATTTTTATTTTTATTTGAGTTCTTGTTTACGCAGACGCTCAATAGATTTTTCATTTGCGTACTGGATAGCACGATCATCTCCATTTTTTTCATCTTCTCAAAGATGTCATGTAGCCTCTGATAAATATAATTGTCATATCTATGGTGATTGTTCATGATTGCAATGATTCGTTTACCTATTAAATAGGTAAGAAGTTTATCTATTACATATGTAAGAAGAAAGAGATTTATCTTTTTAGAGCTGAAACTACTTGTCGTTTTACGGCCATCTTGTATCGAAATGTTCTTTTAACGTTACTTCCAAATAGGAATGAAAAATACTCCAACGCGTAGTTGAACTATTTGAATCAGAGGTTGAAACGGTCTACGTTTTTTACTACACTCGCTTCGTTGTCATGCGCGACAGTCTGTTTGTATTCGTACTCTCATGCGCTACCGTCGTCTCTCTTACACAACACAAACAACAACATTGGAGCAGGAAGAAAATTTTAAAATAACTATCATATGACATGTGTGATTTCGTTCTAATTCCTTAATTTGGTGTAAATTAAACCATTTCTGATCAGAAATGTTATAACTAGGACATCGTTGCTTACTATTTTCAGAATTCACACAAGCACAACATCAGCAGTTCTTATTATGAGAAAAACTAAAATACATACATTAGTGACGGTCTTCGGTGACAGTGTCGTATGACAGAGCCTCTCATATGACATTTTAGTTTAGTACTGTAATTTGATAGCTTGTTTTGCAAGTGTCGGAAGCAAAGGCTGTCAATTATCACAGAAAATGTGTCGACTACAGTGACTGCTTACAAGACTGAATTGAATATTTGAACATCTCTTGTACAGTTCCAAAGAAAGTAATCACTGTATACTGGCTGCGTAATATCTGAAAAGATTTAAAATATGAGCAGTGCAAGTACAGCAGTGTAAATTTCTGAAGGTCAATTGCTGATTTGAGCACCCCTGGCCAGGGCCACTTTCGCCACCTCCTCACTACGCCCCTGCTCTCCCCTATGCTTTGGATACCCCTGAGAAACCAGTATTTGCCTAACATCCAAGTATATCCTTCTGAAACTGCAGAAACCCTTTAACTTCAAAAAAATTTGATGATTAGAGACTTCTTGACCACAAGCTAATCTTTTGAAATTCAATACATTCCACTAATCTGAGAGCTTCAGAATTCTTCGGCAACCCTTCGAATGTCTGGAGCTGCAGCTATCTTTAAAGCTGTTTGGAACTCTTACAAATTACAATTACGCAGAGAATTCTCAAAACTTCCATCACATCATAACCGTAAAACTTGGGAAAAACTAAAAACTATCAAAACTTCGTGAATTTTTGGTTTTTATACAATATTGTATAATTTAAATTTATAAAATATTAAAACTCTTGGTAGCTCTGATAATCTGAGAAAATTCCACATATTCAAGTGGAAGAAGTCTCGCAACTTAGCACTCTGACATTCTTTTTGGAACTCCAGGAACATTGAGAACGTTAGAATTTTTCCCAAATACTGAGGTGTTTCACTCGAGCACCACGAGCTTCTGAAGCTTTTATCTCGCAATGCATCTTGGATTCTCGGGAGGTTCTGGTATTGCTAGAGCTTCAGCAACGCTGGAAATTGTGAACGGTTTTGATTGACAAGCCCCCGAAGAAAATGCCTAAAAAATATTCAGACTATTCATAACAATCATCAAATATTAATTCTTCTATTTGCTACACAAACATTTTAAGATCTCCTGCAGATTAACACAGCGAGAGCCTCTCATAGCAATGGTTCCGAATGCATCCACTCATTTGAAAACAATACCAACCTCCAATGTTTTCTTCTTTTTCAGACCGTCAAATACAACTGGACCGTTGCCATGGAGAGTGCAATCGACTCATCCTTCTTCTGGGGCTACCTGGTCACACAGGTGCCCGGTGGTTTCCTAGCATCCATGTACCCTGCGAATCGAATCTTCGGAACGGCAATCGCCTGCTCGTCTTTCCTGAACCTGCTGGTACCAGGTGCAATGGCACTCGATCCGATTGCCCTAATCATGGTCCGTGTACTGCAGGGTCTGGTGGAGGTAAGTAGATGCGAGTGGGGTAGTACATAAAGAGTTGTAAACCATCGATTATATCCATAGGGTGTGACGTATCCTGCCTGTCACGGTATCTGGCGCTTCTGGGCTCCCCCACTGGAGCGGTCCCGACTGGCAACGATGGCCTTCAGCGGTTCGTACGCAGGTGTGGTGATAGGTATGCCAATGTCCGGTATCCTGGCTGGGTGGATCAGTTGGCATGCTCCGTTCTTCTTCTACGGGCTGTGCGGTTTGTCGTGGTACTGCTTTTGGCTGTGGTTGTCGTTCGAGAAACCGCGGCAACATCCAAACATCTCCATAAAGGAACTGAAATACATCGAAAAATCGCTAGGAGAATCGGTGTCACTGCCGATGCCGAAGATTTCCACCACTCCCTGGCGAGCGATGGCCACATCGATGCCGGTCTACGCCATCATTGTGGCCAACTTTTGCCGCTCGTGGAACTTTTACCTACTGGTACTGTACCAAAGTGCATATCTTAAGCATTCGTTTCAATTCAAAATTGAAGAGGTAAGAACTCAAACCGTGGTCATCGTCCCTTGAGTTAGGTCTCAATGATGATTTGCAAATTTCAGACTGGTATTTTAGGAGCACTGCCACATCTACTGATGACAATTATTGTACCGTTTGGAGGAATGCTTGCCGATTACCTGCGGAAATCGGGAATTATGACGACAACCAACGTGAGGAAATTGTTCAACTGTGGAGGCTTTGGGTTGGAAGGATTCTTCTTCCTGGTAGTGGCACATTCGACTAGTCCGGTGAGTTGCTTGATCCGCATAGACAAAAATCATTCCAAATAATGAGGGTCAATTTTTCGCAGATGGCAGCCGTGACGGCACTAACGTTAGGTGTAGCCTTCAGTGGGTTCGCCATCTCCGGCTACAACGTGAACCATCTGGATATTGCACCTCGCTACGCCAGTATACTGATGGGAATATCCAACGGCATCGGCACCATCGCCGGTCTTATATGTCCTATAGCGATCGATCATTTAACGAGGGGACAGGTAAGTGAAGTCTACCTTGATGCGAAATTAACTCAATTCCACTCAAGTCAGATGAAACTCATAAACGTCAAATTACATTGCTTGGAAACGCAACTCCCCTTATTCTATCCACCCTACTAAGAAGAATCGGACAAAACTCCGTCTTTTGTGCTCCCGTTTTCTACCGTCAAGCTCTTTATTTCCCCGTCCCGATGCATCCCATTTCAGATAAATTAAATTTGTTATGATGTTTTACGCTTGATGATTTTCAACAATAAATCACGAGAGCTTGAAAATGCGAACAGTAGCGACGTCTACCGCTCCCAGTCTCTCCCCTTTCCCGATCTAAACGCCTCATAAATGGAAAATCACAGACTTTGCAATAAAAGCGATCGTCGGAAGCAGCGCCAACCCTCCACCCATCAACTGCCAGGTCTTCCCACTTCATAGAATCGGTGCGACAATAACGCAAAACAGCCGGCGGTGGTTCCGGGGTTGAACGGAATGGAAACCCTACGCTGCTGAGCCTTTCAGCGATTTGGTACTTTTGTGAGAGTTAGATGTGCATATATTTTGCTTTCTCAAACAACAGTGAAATATTTTCACATGTAAACAGGGTTTGCTTTAGTTGGGTGTGGCAGTTGTTTGACTCCATTCGAGAAATCTGAAGTTGCAACTCAATTTACGATGACCGACTCGCATCCAGTGAGATTAAAGACAACTTGAGATCTGCAAAGCATGTTAAATCAAGCCGACGGGAAAATTGGCCAAGTCATTATGTATTAGATGCTGACGAAATCCAGGATAAGTATATAATAGATTTGTAACAGGTTTTGACGTAGGAATACGTCTTTGATTTCTATATGGAGGTACACTTTGTAAGAACATAAAATGAAACGTGTAACGAAATTATGAAAGAGGTTGAACGTTAATAACTCAGCTGCTCAATTTCAATAATTTTATCATCAATCGATCAGAAATATTTCTACATATTGATAGCTTTCGACTGTTGATATTCAACAAGAAACGATTGAAAAGTGGTAAATGTCAAGCATTGTACAAAATCGTCGAAAAAACTATCAAATCCACCAATTACGTACATGCATATGATGCTTCCCCAACACTGTCATCAGAGAGTCGTTAATAGACCAAACAAGTCAAAGTGTCATTCGCCTCCAATCTTCGCGTGTGCGTGTGCAAATAGAAGGCAGTGCTGAGATTCGTGATTGTCATTGGTAGAATTTCGCGCGATATTGACAAAGTTTGTATTCACATAGTCACTGATAGACTCTCATGTTTTGATTAATTACAAAGATTCACCAGGTAACAAAAAGAGTAATTTCGTGCATTCTGAGTCTCATTATTGTTAGCCCAGCAGCTCAGGACATAAGTGCTTGTTCATATTAACGGCTCCAAGTAATTGTTTTGCTCAAGTCATTTAATTTCATTTCAAATTTAATTAGTAAATAAATCTGCTTATGTTCGTCACTGACAGCAGAGACACTAAAAATTGACATGGTTTGCCTTGAGGATGACTGTTAGCTCAAATGAGTGACTAAAGCAAAATTTTGAGTATCGCCGTGTATTGTCGAATTTTTGCGGCACTGATAGGGAGGATGCAATTGCGTAGCATTTTGCAAACTCATCTCCATATTCAGAACCACACGCCCCCAACGAATACACAACATGCTCTCCACAGTTGCAAGCTTGTAACCAAACTTGGAAGCAGGGATGCAAGTTTTTTTTTTTTTTTTTCTTTTGGTTTGTTTTTTCCGTCGATCTTGTTTTCCGTGCTGAGCACCAATGCTACCGACGTGCCAGGAAGGCAGCTTTCACACCTGGACCCTACCTATCGACCCATCAACTCATGAACCGGGGACCAACGGCTTTACTTCCCATCCGAAGGAAGGCGTGATCAGAGATGTTATGCCTCAGAACATCCCGGCGGCGCCGACTGGGATTGTACCCAGGCCTGCTGGGGTGAGAGGTAATCACGCTTACCACTACACCACCGGCGCCGTTAGGGATGCAAGTTATTCTGATCGATTCTCTTCATCGACTTTCTGTTTCGGTAATAACTCGACGGCAGTCTTCACGAAACATAGATGGCCTTGAGCTAGAGTTTCAATTTCTTCAGTGCACGTTCATTGAACGCGCGTGTTACCTTTCGAACTCAAGTGTACTCTGCACATCGAATGTGATACTTCGTACCTGCACGCAAGTGTGAACATTGAGGCTTGCTATGTTGCAACAGGAAGGGCAGACGAAATCTATGAACGCTTCTTATACACCTGTAGCCTACACATCTTTGAGAGTAATAACAGACGAGAGGTGAACAAGCTAGTCTGATTGACTTCAAAGTTCATGGTTCGAGCGTGTGAATTGTTCCATTTTATAATTCTTGTTAATATCATTCATTCTTTCCAACGCCAACGCCTTGAATAAGAACGATGTTTTTTAAACGTTGAAGCAAACGATGTGCGGACATAAACGTTGTTGAAGTGTGTGTATGAGAGAATGCTTATGTAATGCACATCAGTGAAGTTGGTGAAGTGGTTGAAACTAGGGTACTGATGTCAATATCGGTGTCATTTCTTGATTTTGTTACTAATAACTTGTACAGACTGTTGTACTACCGTTGTACTTCTTTAAGCTAGTATCTTAAATTGTACCTTTTGAGCTACTCGATTAAAGAAGTACATACAATGCACAGCTAAAAAAAAGTAGTGTAAATTTCCGTTACTATGATGCACATAAATGGAGCGTAATAAATCATACAAATTTACATTATAAATCGTGTAAATTTATAAGACATGTCATGCAATATTCCATATATTGTATGCAACTTTCCACCTTTGTTTGCAAAATTTCTTGCAAGCTGCTAGTTTACGTGAAAAGGAAGTTTACATGCACGAATGTTTGCATGCATGGATGTTTACATCACCAGTAAAATTCAGATTTTTTTAGTGTGTGGTACTGCTTTGTATGTTTGTCAATGATATAAGGAATCCGATGTTGTCTGACAAACGGGCGTGCCTTTAGAGGGTGCTGTAACTCTTCGAAGGAACATTTCAATTAAAATCGGCTCCTTGATATGAAAACAAGAATGACCGTATCAAAACCGAATGCTTCATCATTTCTCAATAGTTATGGAGTTAAACGATATGCAGAGGGAACAAAAAGTGGGGAGGTGCCTTACATGATAAGTATGGAAAGATGCGTGACCTAAGAGGGCGGTTATTATTTTTTTCTCCTTTGGTTGGTTTTTTTTTTCGTCGATCTTGTTTTCCGTGCTGAGCACCAATGCTACCGACGTGCTTGGAAGGCAGCTCCCACACCTAGACCCTACCTATCGACCCATCAACTTATGAACCGGGGACCAACGGCTTTACTTCCCATCCGAAGGAAGGCGTGATCAGAGATGTTATGCCTCAGAACATCCCGGCGGCGCCGACTGGGATTGAACCCAGGCCTGCTGGGTTAAGAAGGCGGTTAGCAATTTGAAAATATTGTGCACGACATATTTAAAACGTCCTTTGTACTAAACGGCAAAGTTCGTCCACTTTTTTCAAGGTTAAGTAGAAAATTATTAATTAAATTATTTTTTGAACCAAATAATCAAATTCACATCATTGTGAAACACAACATCAAATAACCAGTCGGAGAATTATTTATAGGATTTGTTGAAATTTACTTACGGCAGCAAATTTACTTACGGATAGCACATGATAGCTTCACAATAACAACCGCTTCCGGGGCAATAACTTCCTTCCAATAATAGATATTCGGATGAAAATTAGTTTTCCACTACGCTGAAAATGTATCGCGTTTTCCAGTCACCCAATAACAACGGAAAGCAAAGCTGAGTCCAAAAACTAACGGCGAGTTGCTGCGCTTAAGTTCGAACGTTGTATTTCAAAAGCTGAAGCAAGCGATGTTCGAACGTAAACATTGCATTCATGCTGGGGTGCAAGATCATTTTCCTGAGTGCATGCGTGAACATAGACAGATAAGTGCAAAAGCCTGCTTGCACATCAGTGCTATGCTGCACCTTGAAGACTGCTCGACGGCAAACACATCCATTACTACGTTTGTTGTTCTGGATGATAGAAGAGCATAGCAGAAATAGTGCGCAATAACTATGTGAAGCCATGGTCTTAAAAAGACGTAATCGATGAAGATAATTGACTATCACCCCTCTGCTTCTAAGCCACTTAATTCAGTCGTCTTCATAGCAATGAAAACAAGCATCGCACCGCTTTTGGTTCTTGGGTTACACTTGCTGGTTGTAATTCTGCTGTTCGACATTTTCGAAGGACTACCAAAAAAAAATGAAATTACACTATTTTCTAGGGACACTGATATTCTGCGGCCTTCCAACCTGTCGCAGACACCAGTTCAACCCCCGTCCAGCAGCAGACGGGCCGAGACTCTTGAGAGTGCCCAATAATTGAACCGAAGAAAATGGGATTGTCCGGTCCGATTTTCCAGCAGTTTTCATGCTGACTACACGGACGATTCCGTCTTTTCCTTGATGGAGCTTTGTTATACGACCCAAAGGCCATTGCGCTGGTGGGAGATTTTCCTCCTTCACAATCACGATCTATCCTACTTGCATTTTAACCGGAGAACTGCAACTCTTCTTGGCTCACGATTGCAATTGGGCGAGATATTCCGGATACCATCGGTTCCAGTAGCGCTGATGCAGCTATTGAGTGCGTTGCCAGTGGTCTAGACAATTTTTCGACTCCGGAACAGCTTGGAGATTCGAGCCAACAAGGAAATGGCCTGATGTTAGAACTTCGAAGTCGGCAGAATCGATCGGAATCGGAGTCAAAAGACGAGAAATTAACCACATTTCGATTTGTGCAAACAAAGTTGTCATCCCAAGTAACAATTATGGTTTTACGATTGTTCTGTAGACCATGATTTAGACTTTAAAACCACGATAAAACTAGCAATGTTACTTGGGATGTGCTCAGGGCATAGTGACGTCTGACCGATTTTTTGCAGAAGATGAT